TGGAATACGAAAGGCTTGAAACTAGCAAAAAAAATCTATCACTCTTTAGGGCAGCAAAAATCCAGGCAAGTTAGACTACCAAAATTCCCCATCAGGTTATACATGAAACAGAGATTATGAAGACCTACAGATCAGCAACAGGAAGCTTGTTTTTCCCTATCCTTGACCAGGTATAATTTTCTTTAACTGAAATAAGAAAAATAAATTCTTTAAAATATCAGACTCAAGGAAGGACCACACGAGAGGCAATAAGTCTATTAGACCCCCCCAGTGATAAAGACAAAATAAAACAGTATAAGATTTTTCATAATAATAATTTCTTTTTTCATAATAATTATTTCTTTACATGATCCTTGAGAAATAAAGATGATAATACTTGTCCTGGGATTACTTACTCCACAGACAGCAGAATAAGGTTAGAAATAAAGTGGTTAAAAAAACCTTTGTGAAATCAGCAATAAAGATACTGTTTCTTCAGTTAAATTAACCACACGAGGAAGACACAGGCCACTCTGTGCAGGAGGAGATCCTGCTCTATTCACCTTGGGTTTGTCCCAAGGTGTTTGATGAGTGCAGAAGGAAAGAAAAGTCTTCGAAAAAAGTTCCATATGCCTAAATCTCAGAAGCATATGTCCCTCTTCCTCCCCAAAAGGGGAAAGCTCCAAACCCTCACAGTGACTAACCAGGGTGCCTCAGCTCTGATGCAGAGGCAAGAAGCAGCAGCAAGAAAAGACTGTTTCTTGTTCACAACTGTTTGGTTATGGACTCATCTGCAGAAATGATAACTAGTACCATCTGTGGCGGCATTTTTTAGGGAGAGGAGAAGTCCAGCCAGAACTAAGTCTGGCTGCATAGACTTCTGAAAAGCTGTCAGCTGCCAGTATAGTTTACAATCACAACTCACCCCTGGACACATTTCAAGTTAGTGACTGGCTTCATGATCTATCCTAATCCTTTAAACCACCCAATCATTTAAGTAACCGGGCTTCATCTTGGTTTCAATAATAATAATTTCTTAGGAAATCATGTAAGGAATATTAGAAAGTCTTTAAGAAAAAGGCAAAAAAAACCCAAACAAGCAAAAAACCCAAAAACCAACAAACCATCACACACAGATCAGACATTGAGTAATCCTACAGACACCTTAAGAAAAACTGCCTATCCTATTTTAAGCTGTTTTCTGTGTAATACATTAAAATGTGCTTATGTAACCCACTGCAAAAGAAGATAGTCTTTATACAGAAATGGAGCTCCATTCACATTCATGTTTTCACAAGATGCTTGAGGAATGCGTGCACCTTGACCTGCTTCCTGTGGTGCTGTGCTGACTCTGGTATGCTTATGCTGGAGCCCAGCAGAGGCTCAGCATGGGTAGATGCAGTTTGCTGATGGTGGTTTTATTGGGATTGAGAATGGTTTACAACTGAATCTTGTCAGAAATGTTTTCATTAATTCCTCCCCACATTAAGAAAAGCAGATTTTGATCTTGTTTCCTCCCTTTCCCAGTTCACAGCCTGATAAACCTACCTGAACTCCAACATCCCAATTGTTTTCAGCATTCTAGAGGTGGTTTAATCCAAACTCCATCCTCTTGCTACTTCTAGACCCATCTCTTTATCTCTGCCTTACTTGTTTTTGTCCTTTTTGGAGCTTCTACTACATACCTCTTCAGACTCCTCACAGCAGGTTGAAGTTGAGTGTTAAAGTGAAGGAAGAGTAAGAATAGGGTTTGACTTGCTGCAAGCTGTTTCTGATGAAAAGCAACATGAAGAAAGAGTGTCACCCCACAAATTGCACTGAATTTTAATCTGTTCTCACTCTGATTATACACATCGAGGTCTGTGTTATGAACTCTTACATTCTTCCCCACATCCAAATGCATTGCTATAATTGCAGGCAGAATAAGTTCATTCATCCCAAAGCAATCACCTGCCCACTTGGTGCTGTATTGTATTTTCTACCTTCACTGGTAGTATGTTGTTGGGCCAAGAATATATTACTTATTTTGGCAGATTTCTTTAAATCAGCCATACATGCTTACAGTGCTGCAAAGTCACAATGATGCAATTGCAGTAGAGTGGCCAAACACACATGAAGTGTACATATAAAGTAAAATTAACTCACTGTCTCTATACCTCTGCTCACATTGCAGCAGTTGCTTTTCTGATTCCATAAAATACCCTCTTTATTTCTCCTCTTCAACCTAGGAGCTCTTTGTTTCTCTGTCTGCTCTTACCACTTATTTCTGATCAGTAGCCATAACCTACAACTAAAATGGAACAATTGGATATGGTGGAGGTGAAAATAAAGTATCAAAACATCAATATTTATCAAAAAAATAAGTGATGTGATTAATTTCCGCAGAAAACAGGACTACTCTCCTGTAAAACACTTACATGAAAAGTAGAATATTCAAGGTAAATCTTAACAGATATCATTGTTTTCCAAATAGGATATTTTTCAATTTTACTTTGTTATGGAGAAATACTACATATATTTAAAAGAAAGCATTTTTATAGAAGGCACCCTGAACTATAGCAAAACCAAAGACTACCACTCTGCTGCAGGATCTCTTCAAAAGTCATGTCAGTGCTTGGATTCCCTGTTGAATAGAAATGCTCCATCTCAGAGCTGTTTGTTTCTGCCTTGGCCTCCATCTTGGGCCACCTCTGTATGAAAACAGTTTTCACTGCACACACTCACAGCTGACGACTATTTGCATTGTCTCTCTCTATAAAATACCAACACCATCACCTCTCCTTTGGATTCACACACAGGAGCGAAGGGAATAAAAAGCTTTCGTGACCTACAAAAGCCTTACTTGAAATAATTCTCTACGACTTCAGGCCTTTTGGAATGGAAGGGATATATTGTTTTGACTTGATTAAAGCTGAAAAGTTGATTTGACATCCTGTTGTCAAGGAAACCCATTCACACACAAAAGAAAACAGTTGTGATGGTATCATTCAGAGTATTCAAGTGACCTTAGAAAGAAAAAAAAGGCTTCAGTTCCAAAGATTTGTATGCAACTCACTTCACCACTGTAGAAATAAAGATCATTGCTCTTTATGCTTATTGGAAAGCAGTTTTCAATCTGGGAAAAGAAAAATGCCACATCTTCTTCCATCTGCCAGACCCAATACTTTGCTGGGATTTGACATATAAACACACCTACCATTTATTTGCCTATTTCAAAGGACCACAGAAAGAATCATACAGAAGACTTACAGGGAAAGAGAAGGAATTTCTTTAGTTGACAGGACTATGATAAATACCCTCTGACACATACCACACCTATTGAACAGCAGCTCACAAGCCATGTTTTAAAACATCCTCCTTCAGCTACATATAGACCTTACCTTGAACACAGTATTGTTTGCATCCAGCTTTGTTTTCCTGGGAGATACCAAAAAGCAGCATTTTTTTTCTCTTCCAGCCTCCTAGGTCCCTCACAAATTGAGTTTTCTACGCATGCAATAAATGAAGTATACCTGTGCTCAATCTGTTCATGCTTCCTGCCTACAGAAGAGGCAGAGCTGTCCTGGCTGACCACTACCACCATCATCCAGCTTTGCAGTCCGTGCAAGTCTCACAGAGGTTTCATTCCCTAACAGCTGTGAGTAGATTGGAGAAATGAAACTTTCTATCTGCTCACACACTGTAATTATACATCTCTTTCTCCAATGACACAGCCTCTGCCTGGTTGAGTGAGCAGACAGATGACTAAATAGCAACTTGTCTCAAATTCAGCTTGGGAAAAAATAGGCATGATATTAATAAGGAGGGAAATATACTGAGGAATAGATGCCAGTGTTCTTACATTATTGTCATTTAAGGGCATCACACCAAAGGTCACAGAGATAATACACCTCAGTCATTTTTCATTTGTTGCACAACATACAAATTGCCACAGCATTAATGAATATCTTTTCCCACTCGTGGCCAGCCAAGGCACTGTATTATTTCCTCTTAGACAAGCACCTAACCCTTGGAATTCATTATTTTCATCATTTCTTGCAGCACTTTCTCCTTAGGGCTGAGCATAAATGCCACAAGGCGACTGTGACTGGAGCACCAAATGCTTAGTATGTCTGGGTCTGACTTCTTTCTGCTAGAGCTTTTTTGCTGGAAGAGCATACAAAGCATATTGGTATCTTTTATGATCAAATGTGTATACACACAAACATTCATATATGCTCTCTTGCAAGTGTCTTAAAGCCCTTGCAGACCACAACGGTGGCGGAGGAAAATGACATTTTCTGTACTTTGTAGATATTGCTTGATAGCTATATATTGAAATAATAGTTATGCTACAAACACCAAATAACCACAGCAACAGAAGCTACCACGAAATAACTGCATTTCCACTTAAAACGATGACAAGTGGAAAGTAGTTATTGGAACAGAAATGACATTCACAGAAACGTGGAAGGGCTTCTATGAAGGGATATACTGTTTAAACCCTCTTTACTCCTAATAAACTGCTAAGATAGCACAGCTGAGCTATATAGAGCTATATAGAGAGGAATGCCTCATTTCTAATCTATACTTCATTGTATTTTAAGTTGAAGAATTTTGCATAAATATAGATAGCAACAGCTGAACCAAATTCCTACTATTTCATAAACTGAATGAGGGGTTTTTTAAGATGACAAATTATTATTTCCACTGTTCACTGTAAGTATAAAGAATATGCAGATGAAAAGAGAATATTGAAGGCTGGTAGCTTTGTACAGTTCTGGAAAGGACTAAACTTTATGTGCATAATTAAAATAAGAAAGAGAAGAATGAAGTCCAACACCAAATGATGAACTAAAATAAGGCAAGAGCACTTGCTGCATGTAATTAAACCACCTCCACCTCTGTCCCCCAGGCTGAAACAGTGCACTCCACATTTTAATGAACATCTTATCTTGGTATTTTCTCCCTTCCCACCCAACAAACCCAAACAGCCAGAGCCAGTCAGGAAAGAAGAAAGCTGATGGTACTGCTAAGCTTACCCACAAACAGGTCCGTATTCCGTAATGAGTTTTGTGTGGTTTTCCCAAAAACCCTGGAGAAAAATAAAAATAACAAAGTGGTTTAGAACAGTACTTAACAGAAACTACTTTACTCAGTGCTGCTAATACTCTCACAAAGCTCTGAACCTCATCCAGGGGAACCACAGTGTTAACTCATAACCTCACCTTTCTCCTATTGTCCGAATGTACCATGCATAGAGTCTAGAAATGCCAACTGAAAAGGAAAAAAAAAAATCCCAACCCAAAACAATACCTGAAAATCCATGAAACATGTTTTCATCAAGATTTTACACTCCAAAATCTGTTATCATTTCATGATTTATTTTTTTGAAACTACTTTTGTCATTGGGGTCTTCACTCAATTTTTTTCAGATACGTGAATGGATGGAAAAACTGACAGAGAAATTAAGAGAGGATAAGTAATTGACTTACTGCACAAAAGAGAAACACAGGCAATGTGGTGAGGTCATCTTGATTTAGTTTTAGTCACATTATTTTAAAAAACCCCAAAACAAACAAATAAAAAACCAAACAAAACCACACACACAAAAACAAACAAACAAACAAAAACCACAACGAACAAAAACAAACCAAAAAAACAAACACAAATCTGCAAAGTCAAAGTTTAGCGCAAGGCAGTCACCTAAGACACTCTGCAGAATAGTAAGCAGATATATTTTTAAAAATTTTTAGAATTTTTTCTGTATTTCATTGTCATAATCAATGCAAACTGGTAGCCATTTATCTGAATAAACCTGCCACTATACTAAACTGTTAGTGTCCTAAATGAATCCAAATTGATTAACCTAAAGAAGGTGTGCAAAATACATTCCCCAAAACATAAAAAAATTCTGTTTTAATGAAACTACAATATCTGAGAATCATGCTCCACTGTGTTTGTAACTTGTCTATGGAAAAGATAACACATTTAACTGCATTTCTTTCAATTCAAGAAGTCTATCATGATCTGTCTTCATTTCTAAGAGAAAATTTACTAACAAAGTAGAATACTTATACCTCATATTGAATCTTTCTTATTTTTTATGACATACAGCAGTTATTAGCTAGCACAATATGAAGTTCTGTAAGTATATCTACTGCTGACATAAATAAACAGACCATGAAATGTGTGTATGCTATGAGAGCATTTTACCACACTAAGCACAAGAAAATGTGGTAATCAGAAGTAGTTATCTGACCTTGGGTGCTAACTTATCACTCAAATCAGCAAAGCACTTGCCACCACCTGCAGTCCTCCTCTTATAGAGCCCCTCAATTCTGTTTCATTCTTATAGTATGGTTGTGCTTTTTATTTATTTTTTTTTTAACCCTGGGCTTGTAATACGTTTATTCTGTAGGACAATACGCCTCCAGTTTGGAGGCAAAAACTTTAGGGTTTCCTTTAGCTACAAAAAGCACTGGATGATGTGTAAGAAAACACACTAAAGATAAAATTGTGAAAGAGGTGAATTAGATGACTGCCTGAAGAGAATATTCACTGCCTGAAAAGAATACATATTCTCACATGAAAAATTCTTTACTACTAAGCTAAGCAGAAAAGCCTCATCCATTAGCACACAGAAATAAAGGTGGACAAAGCCTTTGTAATACCACAAATACACACAGCTAACTCAAAAAGGCTTTCACGTGCAGACACCTTGGGAGGGGAAAAGGTACATACACATTCACACTCACCTGCATTTTGCTACAGGGACACTTCAGCCATTGCAGGATTTCAGCCTGCAATTGCTATGATTTCAGCATTACAAAGGTTGTCTACTGCCTTCCCCTGCTGATGCAAGGGGAAATCCTAGGGCCAGATTCCCTCAGCACTATTCTCCAGGTGGTCATTTAAGGCTGAGTACAGCAGGCCCAGCTCATGGGCACGCTCTGACCATTTTGCTTGGGAGAGCAGCTCCAACCTGCACAAACACAGCCACACTGAGGCACCAGCGCAACACGGGGCACGGCTCGAGGTCACCGGGCACAGTCTAACAAGGGGTGCAAACAATACAGTTGCATCCCAACTGCACTGGTTGCTCATGGCAGAGGGACTTCCAGCCCTGTGAGACAATGCCAAATCAGGTCTGCTCTCCAGCCCACTTTCCTCCTAGCCTGAGCCTTCAGTGAGGACACCCCACACCGCAGCCTGAACCTTGCCTGCTAAACTGTGCTTTGGATTGCAAGCACGCACGTAGGTATTGCACTTGCTGTATCCACCAGCTGCATTCCAGTGAGCCAGCAGGATATTAACATTTTCAAAAAGCCTAGGCTTTAAATGATTCAGTGAAAAAGCCTTCCAGAAAGTCGGCTTCTTGGAAGAACTGCTCCTGGCTCACTACAGTAGAGGGGTCAGGCAGAACACATTTCAATTCAAGTCTGTTAACCAGTAACTGGTTTTCCACCTCCAGGACTCCTAAATGATTGCACTGGCTTAAAATTAACCACACTTAATTTTTCTTCCCCAAAGTAAGAAGTACAAGTCTGCAGGAGGAGGGGAGAGAAGGAGTTGAAAAGTACCTAGGTAGAGACTGTGAGAAAGCATCCTCAGGAGTAAAAAAAAAGCCCTCATTCTCTACACCCCAGGACACTTTCTCATGTCCTGCACCACTGCACACACACATACTCCCCACTACCTGTCTCCACTGTTCAACCCCAGGACCCCCTGCTATCCTGGCCCCCTTCACAGGCCTGGTAAGCCTTGGGCTGCCTGGCAAAGACAAGCACATGCAGAGCCCGGTGAGGCTGCGGTGCCCTGAGCATGGGAAAGGCAGAGAGTTCATGTGCGCGCATCCCTTGCCAGGCAAGGCACACATTTCAGCTGGAGGAAGCTGGAGTCACACAAAGGTGCCTGCGTTTGCTTTTGATAGCCACGAGGAAGGCTGATGGACCTGCAACGGACTCAGAACACAGTGAGGGGAAATGCCACATCCACATGGCTCTGCCAGTTTTGCAGTATTATCCCTGAACACGGCTTCCAGCAGACAGGTACCCTGAAAACATCCTCCTCTTCCTATGAGTAATGTTTGAAGCACAGGAAGCCTCATAAGTGCTTTTGGTAACTTATATACACTGGCTGAGGTTGGTCTGCTCTAAGGCTCATTATTGCAAGCTTGTCCAGGTTTATAATTGCAATTCTACTTGGTATATATTGTATAACTAAGCACCTGCCCATCACCAGCAGCTGTCTTACAGGAAAATAGAGGTAGAGATGTAGAGATCACCTCTCTTTGGCTGAAGATCACCCAGTGGATAAATATGAGAGCAAGCAAACTCAGGTACCTTCTAACTTGTACCCAGTGGCTTTAACAGCCCTAAGACAGGAATTATAACAAAGCAGTATGGCTTTTAGGAAGGGAATAATCAAGGAAAAATGGAAACATGTATTCTGATTTTTTTAGGAAAACAGAAGGAAACTGAAAAGCAAAACAATACACAGTGTCATGAGATGATACCATGTGCATCAGGAGGAAATGTAGTGCATTAAACAGTCACTCACAATAATTAAAAGCATAGTCGGCAATGCGTTCCAAGTCCAAAAAAGTCACTTAGGTTTTTCTTTGTTTGGAAGCTACAGAATATGAATTGTTATCAGCAACAACTCAGAAAAGGATTGGGCCAGGGGGGACGTGTTGCATGTGGCCCATACAGGGAGGTACCAGCCTGATGACAGTTCACTATCAAACAAAATAATGCAGGAGTATGAAAAGCTTCTTTCCCTGCAGAAAGCATATTTTACAGCATCTGGTATACCATGGAAACAGCAGCTCAAGTGGGGGGACTGCTGCACACCCGGAAGGCTTCTTTGTTTACATGGCTGGCAGTTGCCTCCCTGCAGGGAATTTGCATTCTTCCCTTCCTCTGAGCATGTATCATCAGCTGCATCTGTGGGTAGAACCACTCACAAGGCCAAGTCCTGCCCTCAGGGATACAGGTACAATCCCTATGGAAGAGAACAAGGTTTGGGTCTGCATCAGCCAGAGCAAAGTCTGGTCATTGCCAGCCATCTGTCTTGAGATATCATATGCTGAAGCTTCAGCTTGAGCAGCATACATGAAAGGGCTTCAGTTGCTCAAGTATCCCCTTTCCTTTTCTTAAATAGACTCTGCCACTCCAAGACAGATACTTCAGCAAATTCCTCCTCATTGCATATTCACCTTGCTAGTTCCTCACAGCAAGGAAAAAATCTGCAGCAATGTCATCTTCCCTCCTTGCTGAAAATGGGTTTAGGCACTAAGCCAAAGTTTTCAGAAAGAGGCAGTATTTCAGAGAGTAGCAGTGCGTTTTGATTTTTGGGGTGTTTAACATGAGGCATGGCTAAACTATTCCTGTTAGTTGCTCAATACCTGCAGATCTCATGGCTGCAACTGGGAGCTGACTCAGATTGTGTGGAGGATGCTTTGAACATTTCAGCTTGTTGCAGCTGGAAAACAAATCCTGTGGTTTATGAACTTAGCTATAGTCCTTAGGGGTTGCTAGATAAAATGGTCTGAAAAGGGCCACAAAGGTGGGATCCAGCAGATGCATGTCCTGACAGTAACTCAAAATCTGAACTCCAAAAAAGGGTCCTGGAGAACGCAATCATGGTAGCCCTTGCATTTTGTAGTACGAATGCCACAATAGCTACTAAGCTCTGTGGAGGTAGATGTGATGAGTCCATCAAAATTCACTGCAAACGGAAAACATTACCCATGCAAGAACAGCTAAGGGAAAAGGCTTCCTTTGTTGCCCCTTTCTGAAAAGTATCGCATATTACTTGATGTCAGACACTTATCAGGACACCTGGGGTTCAAACTTGTGGCTCAGAAGCCAAAGATGCCACATTGCATAACTAGTCCCATATATGCTCCACCCTCACCACCCTATAGTCAGATGTGATGTTCTGTTTCATTGTGATATTAATAACCGCAGAAACATTGTTTGATTGTACAACGCATATCAAAAGATTAAAAAATCTATGCTGTTTTTTATGGTACAAAATGGCAATGAATGACATTTACTGATCAGATTTTTAGTATTCAGTGGGCTTTAC